CATCACTCCACTTATGTACCCAGCATCCTTTGTCTTCACTGTTCCCAGTACAGCTTATGTGGTTCTGACTTCCATCAACCTGTTCATTGGAATCAATGGCAGCATAGCCACCTTTGTCCTGGAGCTGTTTATAGATGAGGTAGAAACCTTGTTGCTTTTCCACAGCTAAATACTCATAAATCTGAATATAAAACCTATATTTTTTGATACTCTTACCTTCTGATAAATCTCTCTAGCATCTGAATGCTGTGAACCAAGTCCTGAAGAAAGTCTTCCTCATTTTCCCCCATTTCTGTTTGGGACGAGGACTCATCGACATGGCCAAAAATCAGGCCATGGCTGATGCTTTCAAGAGACTGGGTATGAAGTTTGGGAAAAGAGTCCATATACAGTTGATTTGATGTACTTTGTAGCTTTTAGAGACAAATCCTATTGTGACAAAATATCATTTAATTTTGTCACAACATTGAATGTAGTTCCTAATATCCATAAAACTCTCACACCATTTTTTTGCATATTATCCATCTCACTTCTAATATGTGTTGGGTTTTTTTGTAAAGAAAACTAATATTTGTAGGTTTATTTCCTATTTTGTAGGTAGTAGACCAAACCTGCATCCTCTGCAGTGGGATTTTGTTGGAAAGAACTTGTTTGCAATGGCAGCTCAAGGCGTCATCTTCTTCATCTTCACCATACTACTGCAGTACAAGTTTTTCATACACTTAAGGTATGAATTTAAAATGTACTGAGACACATACTTTATTTTAATGAAGTCTGTTCAATCCCTAACTAACTGTGATGATTGTTTTTATTTGTATTTAGTGCCTACTAAACCACTAAATGATCTTGTTTTGAACATCTGTCCAGGCCGTGGTGCACTGAGCCTGAGATTCTTCCTCTCGCCCCAGAAGACAAGGACGTGGCCAGAGAGAGAGAGAGGGTGAAAAGTGGCCTAGCCCAGTCGGACATCCTCACCATGACAGATCTCAGCAAGGTTCAGCCAACGTTCTGCTTTAAAACAATAAACAAGGATTCCATAACTCTATACATATAAATATTGTGATTGGAATAACACCATAGTAAACAAGAATGTGTCAGTATTTCTTAATCACTTATCCACTAACATTATTATGTTTTAAGGTCTACAAATCAGGGAGGAAGCCAGCAGTGGATCGTCTCTGCCTCGGGATTCCACGTGGAGAGGTGTACACATTGTTGAGTTAAAATACAAACAAACAACACTACTATATGTCTTACTCTTGATGCAGCATACGCTGCTTAACAACTGTAGCCTGTACACTCATGGCTGTGGTCATATAAATATATATATAAATATATACATACATCCGGAAATGTATATAACGTGTTTTTTTGTTGTTTTTTTTACCAGTGCTTTGGTCTGCTGGGTGTGAATGGAGCAGGCAAGACATCAACATTTCGTATGCTGACTGGAGACACGGCTATAACCTATGGAGAAGCGTTCCTCAACCACTACAGGTAAAGATCTAACATTGAAGACATTCATCTAATCATTATTTTTTTTACTTTTACTTCTTGTAGCATCAAAACATCGTCAGCATACACTTTGCCCGTGAAATCTTCATCTTTGCATCTCTTCAGCGTCAGTATTGATAAACCGTGTTTCCATGTGGTTCTTAGCGTGTTGACTGAGATGGAACAGGTCCACCAGCTGATGGGTTACTGCCCACAGTTTGATGCCATCAGTGATCTGCTGACAGGACGGGAACATCTGGAGCTGTATGCCCGTCTACGAGGGGTTCAGGAAGAATCTGTCACCAAGGTAAAGTAACACTGTGGAATAATATTTATTTATAATATTTATTTCTGTCTTGTATAAATCTGCAGTAGTAGTTCACAGGAGGAAGAATATTTTTTATCGGATAAAAACAACAATTTCAATATTTATAGTCATTCTTACCCATACACTATGTGTAGGTTAGTGGTCAATGTGGTCAACCTTTTTGGCATTTTAAATACCAAAAAAACATAAATAGATTTAACCCTATGTCAATATAAAATACAAAATATGTGGATATATTTTCTGCTGCAAATACTACACACTCTTGTGAGCAAAACAACCAAGACTGTTTTTCCTGTTCATTCTGCTGCCACTGTGTCAATGCAGCTTTGTGCCAAATATACTGCACTGCGCTGTTTATAGACAGCCAGTCTATTTTGAGTCCCAGACTCAGTGGCGGTGTATATTTAGACATTCTCTTCAGCTGCACCACACAGGAGAGATGACACTCTGTTTAATTAATTACTTCTCTTCTGTTCATCAGTCTTGTTTTGGGTGGTACATGTATCAGAACAGTTACCTTTAGCTGCAGCCTTCACAGCAGTGTGGCCTCCTCTGTTTTACAGGTGGCCCAGTGGGGAGTGAAGAAGCTGGGACTGACACAGTACGCTGATCAGGAGGCTGGAGGCTACAGTGGAGGAAACAAGAGGAAACTCTCCACTGCCATTTCCCTTATAGGGGCCCCACCTGTTATATTCTTGGTAAGGCACAAACTTGTGTATCATAATAGTTAAGTAGTTAATAGTTTTGAGAAATGAGAACATCCTTAATATAATTTCAACATAATATCAAATACATTTCAAATTATAAACTTCATATTCAAAACAGTGATTTTTATTGAAAAAGTCCAGCTTACAGGACTTTGAAAATGCTCAATCTATGTCATTCACAGTTTAATGGAGAATATATATTTTCACTGTCGTTTCCTTTGTTTTGATTCATGTTAGGATGAACCAACAACTGGTATGGACCCAAAAGCCAAACGATTCCTTTGGAACTGCATCCTCAGTGTCACCAAAGAGGGGAGAGCTGTTGTTCTTACATCCCACAGGTAGAATCCAATGTACAACAAAGTGCTGTACACACAAGATTTGTATAAAGAAGAATATGTGTTGTGACTGAATGTACTGTACAATGAAGAAAAGAAGGGATGTCCCCTCTGAGTCTTTAAGCTACTTGGATACTGCTGCAGTACTATTGGTGACCAGCAGGAGCTTGCTATCATCCCATTGGTCCATCTTATAAATTAATGTCATATTTAAGAAGCTTGAAGAGGCAACTTTTTTTTTTCATAAAAAGGTTAAATAGTATGTTTTTTTTTCTTGTGTTCAAATGTTAATACGTTTGTTTCTGTGTCTGTATGGACAGTATGGAGGAATGTGAGGCTCTCTGCACCAGAATGGCCATCATGGTCAATGGAAGGTTTCAGTGTCTGGGGTCAGTTCAACACCTGAAGAACAGGTGAGCCCATAATACATGTTGAATACAAACCACAACAAATACTTTAGTTGAACCTAACATTTCAAATTTTCTTTTTGTTTATATTGTTAATTTTGAAGTTTGGAAGAGAGTCAGTGGAAAAAAAAAACTCTTTCCTGTGTCAACAACTTTCTCCCATCATTCAGGTTTGGTGATGGCTACACTATCATTCTCCGATTAGTAGACCATAATACTAATCCAGACCATTGTTCTGTGAGCTCATACATGAAGAACATCTTCCCCAGCATTGAGCTGAAGGAGCATCACCAAAATGTGCTGCAGTATCAGCTGCCCT